AGAAAAGATTCAGATGGAAATGGTGTATCTGCAGTGTCAGGGGCGAACGTCTACGACAAGTCCTTAGATGGTCGTCGCTGTCGTTGTCGTCGAAATCGTCAATTGATTGGATGGTGGCGAACAAGAAAGAACAGAGAGGCAGGTCCGATGAAGTGACGGAGGCAATGAAACACCTATAAATGAACGCAAGAAAACAATGAACGAAGAAAAGGTTCGGATGGGAATGGTGTGCCCCCAGTGTCAGGGGCGAACGTGTGTAACAAGTTCTTACAGGATTTAGGGGTAAGAGACATGGATAAAGACTTGGACAGTGTGGGAGTTCGCAGGCAAAGCCGCAGCCCTCCCAACGCTGCCATGCTATCGTGATTCGGCACGGGAGTTGGCAGGCAAAGCCGCAGCCCTCCCAACACCGTCGTTTCGCTGTTGGGTCAGAGAGGGAGTTCGCAGATCAGATCCGCAGCCCTCCCTACACTGCCCGTTCCTTCGTTGCTGCGAAACACTGGGATCACAAGTTGTAGAGTCGTATTCACTTGTTGTAGAGTCGGAGACACAAGACGTCACTCGTTGTAGAGTCGTGGATGTCGCATCTGGGAGCACAAGTAGACACTATCCCGACATCTTTCAGCATTTGTGTAGGAGAGACTTTAGGAGAAATGTTGCACCCGAAGGTGAGTATTCATGCGTCTGGCCACCGAGCTCTCTCAATCTGGGATCTTAAAGCTGGAGCCTCACGACTGGCATTTTGTCAGAGTAAACCAGCCGAAGTACACAGCTGATTTGACCCCCGATTGGCCGAAGCCAGACATGGGTTAGCACGTGTTCCTACAATCGTACCCTAGACATGTTCCACATCCTCTTCTTCATCTTCATAGTGGGGTTCTCGGCTTGGCCTCAGCCGTTCATTATGCAGGTACGTTTTCACGAGAGGACAGGTAGATGAGTGCGCGGTCTTCGTTGGCCAGCGCACGCACTCATCTTACCTGCCTCTCCGCTGGCTCTGAACCTTAGTTGTGCCCTTAGCTTCAGGGTTCTACACACACAGCTGCCCCTGTCGTAGGGGTAGCACTAAAATCAGGAGAAGCGGGGGAAACTGAAGTGCTACTCGTTCCAACATTGCGAAATGCACTGCAGATGCCGACATGCTACCCCTTCCAACATTCGGCAAACCACACCTGCACATGCCGAAAGTCTACACGTTCGTTCCAACATCCGCAAACCGCACTTGCACATGCCGAGATGCTACACGTTCCAACATTCGCAAACCGCCCTTACATGTGCCGACATGCTACATGTTCCAATATTGCATGGTGTCGTCAATGATTGAATGGCAGCGAACCAGAAAGACCGTAGAGACAGGCCCGATGAAGTGACAGAGGAAATGAAACACCTACTGAACTATTGATGAGCGTCAGGGGCGAACGTTTGCGGCAAGTCCTTAGATGGTCGTGGCTGCCGCTGTCGTCGTAGTCGTCCAATGATTGGATGGTGTCGAACAAGAAAGATCTGAGAGACAGGCCCGGTGAAGTGACAGAGGAAATGAAACACCTATAAATGAACGCAAGAAAACAATGAACGAAGAAATGGTTCGGATGGGAATGGTTTGCCCCCATTGTCAGGGGCGAACGTGTGTAACAAGCTCTTACAGGGTTTAGGGTAAAGAGAAATGGATAAAGACATGGCCGGTGGAGTTCGCAGGCACGGCCGCAGCCGTCCCAACATTGCCATGTCATCGTTGATTCTGTGTGGGAGTTCTCTTGCAAAGCCGCAGCCCTCCCAACATTGCCATGTCATCGCTGATTCTGTGTGGGAGTTCGCAGGCAAAGCCGCAGTCCCCCCAAACTCCGTCGCTTCGTTGTTGAGTCAGAGAGGGAGTTCGCAAGTCAGAGCCGCAGCCCTCCCTACACTGCCCGTTCCTTCATTGCTGCGAAACACTGGGATCACAAGTTGTAGGGTCGTAGTCACAAGTTGTAGAGTCGTAGTCACAAGTTGTAGAGTCGTAGACACAAGTGGTCACATGTTGTAGAGTCGTAGGCACAAGTGGTCACTTGTTGTTGATGAGTGAATGTCGCATTTGGGAGCACGAGTAGATGCTATCCCGACATCTTGCAGCATTCAGGCAGGAGAGAATTCAGGAGAATTGTCACCCGAAGGTGAATATTTATACGGCTGGCCACCGAGCTTTCTCAGTCCTGGATCTTAGAGCACTTTGACAGAAAACCAGCCGAAGCACACACTTGATTTGACCTTCGAGTGACCGAAGTCAAACGTGGGCTAGCACGTATTCCTACAATCGTATAGCCCAGACATATTCCACATCCTCTTCTTCATCTTCATAGTGGGGTTCTCGGCTTGGCCCCAGCCGTCCAGAATGCAGGTACGTTTTCACGAGAGGACAGGTAGATAAGTGTGCGCGGTCTTCGTTGGCCAGCGCACGCCCTCATCTTACCTGCCTCTCCGTCTTAGTTGTGCTCTTAGCTTCCGGGTTTTACACACACACACAGACACACACACACAGACACACACACACACAGAGTGTTCGTGAAACAAGGGGGCAGATGTACCAAATGTGCCTCGCCCCACCTGCCGTTGACACCCTGTTTCTGGTACGCCACCATGTCCGCCAGGTTACATATTGACATGCAGTCAATCACGAGATCATGTTCGGCCATGCTGTTCAGTCATTGCATTGTGGTTGGTTTAGTGCTTTGTCGGTCACCATATTCAAGCTTCTTCTTCTGCTGTCTTGGGCCGACTCATGATTGCAGTGGCTCTTTGGTTTGATCCAGGTCACTCGTGCCCTCGGCTTGAGAGACTTGAAGCTGCCTAGAAAAATTGTTTCCTCGGAGCCGCAGGCGGGTGACAATTGTGTTTGGGTTTCTATAGTGGGCGCCAAGTGGCACGATTCCGATGGCGTCCTCAGATAGACGTCATCCAGCTGGAGGCGCTGGGTTCGCCCGAGCCTTTGTTTTTACTATTTGAGCGGCCTCTGCCAGTGCGAAATGGTGTTGTCTGTAGCAGAGGCACCACCTTGTGCTGCTGAGCCCCGCGCTTAGCTTTCGCATTCCGCCGTGTGAGGTCTGTGGCGAGAATTAAGTGCCATGTTGCTCCAAGCGGAAAACCCTAAGATTTGTGAGAGTCGAAACCCTTCAGACGCCACCGGGCTGACTTGACACTGTGGCAAATTGATGCCATTAAAGGGGCTCTCGCAGAGGCCAGGGATGCAGATTCCTGGCTAGATCGATGATCTAATTGGTTCTTCAGCCACCCCCTGGTGGTGCAAATTCTTCCAATTCTTCCTTGATTCGGGGTGGCAAGCCGAGAGGTCTTAGATAGCTTCTCTGCTTAGGAAGGTGCTCTGGGTTCCATGCGGGCAGGACGGAAGTAGGGGGCTGGTAGGCTCACGAGCCCTCGGTACTTGGGCGAAAGAGGAAAGCCAGCCTCAGCACACTGCTCAATGGGTCTTTTTTTCACCGAGCAGTGCTGGGAGGGGAATCCAAATAGAAGGAGGCGGATGAGTGGAAAAAGTGCTGTCACTTGGTGGCTGGTAGCGGACTGCCTGTGCAAGGCTCCGGCGCGACATCTTTGAGTGACCAGGAGGCTTTACATGGCGAGGGGTCGGTACAAACTGCGTGCATGTTTGCCGCTGGCATCGGCTGTTTTGCAGTGTAGCCCAGTGCTTCTTTTGTACGTCGCCAGGTTATCGAACGAATCCGTGGTTTCTCAGGGCAACCCAAGGCGTGTGTCCAGATGCACCGCGGGCCCAGTGTGACAGCCTCTGAAGTCAGGCCGGGTCACTCTTGGTCGCAGCTGATGCCGCAGCCAAAAATGCGGCGTGCGAGCCTGGATAGCTGCTACAGGGTGGACTACCTGGCCATGTAGCGGTCGTGATCCATGATATCCTGGGACCGTCTCAGGCAGAGCATCACTGGGCCACAGCGATTTGGCTGCTGCATCGTGGGTGTGTTCGAGGTGTTGTATCTGCTGCAGGTGTTTCGCATGAACTGTAAATAGCAACTGCACATTCTGCAGGTCGGGTCAGGCTATGTTGAGCCAGCTGCGAAGAAGGCCAAGAAAGATGGCGGTGACAAGGCCGAATGCCAGAATGCTGTCGGTTCTGCTCGGATGAATTTGCCATGCACGCGTTGTCGGTACTTGCCTTGGGAGGTCAGATGCAGACACATTCTTCTTAAACACAAGGATCGTTCACTGAGCGCAAGGTTTGAGTGTGCTCTGTGTGCTTGGTTTTTGGCAACTGTAAGGACCTGAAGCAAAAGATGGATCCGCAGGTTGGTGATGCCAGACTTGTAATTCGGTATGTGCAGCCAATGCATGCTTCGCAGTGGAATACCCCAGCCTGCTCGCCTCCGAACAAGCACGCAAAGTCAAAGTACAACCAAACTGAAGGCGCATCTGCGGTCCAAGGGTCAGCGGCTTAGTGACTTAATCAGAAGCAGAGGTGGTACGTGTGTCTGCTGAGCTTCAGAGTTTCAGACTGGCTGCCTGCAGACCGGCTTAAGAGGAAACGTGCATGTACCTGTCGTTGTTATATCATTCCGTGCTTTGGGTCGCCTGGCAAAAGCAAGCAGTAAACCAAGTGAGGGAAAAAAAGACTTCTTGAACAAGGCGGCCGTGCAGGTTGCAGATGCGACAAAACATTCAGGGGCTTGCCGTGGATTTACATTGGCCTGTGAATGCATGGCGTCGGACTCGGCTGAGGATCCGGAGGTTGTCGCTTATTGGCAAGCTTAGAGATCCTTGGTTCTACTGACTTGTCTTGCAAGGCAGGGGTACGATTTGTGGTTGACCAAACGGAGCTTCGAATGGTTGATTTCTTGGGCGTGGGGGTAGGTGTGGGTGGGTGTGGGTGTGGGTG